AATAATATTGTACAATACTGTACCCATCTTGTACGCTATGTTACTGTTGTTATGTATGGACCCTTCTATCTCGTACTAATAAAGAAGCCATTAAATAGCTTAATTTTTAATTTCATGCCATCAAATAATGGTAAAGATAGGACTCATCTTTCTACTATCTTTTTCTTCCCCGCCCCTCCTTCCCCCCCCTCCCTCCCTGAAAGGGAAACAAATAAATTTTTACCAATTAAATTTTATCAAAGATAAACAGACACTGAAATTCGACATCAGTGACAAGGAGAAAGCCGCAAATGCTGTTATATACTAAGCAGTCATTTGACTAATATGAAAAAGTGGCACAGTATGCAAACTATAGAGAGCACCTAAGGCACATCATCTTTAACAGCTCTGTTCAAGTTAATTTTTTTTTTTTTTTAGTCAAATAAACACAGACTCTAAAGATGCAGGTACCTTTCCTTCACATCACTGCCCAGAGAATAAATACTGTTGATCTCTTTACTCTTGCCCAAGACTTTTTCTTCCTGGTATCCCACAGTTAAATATATCAGTAATCCTGGAAAATATTTGCAATTTCCCTAATGTAATGAAAAAATTATGACCTACCCATTCAACCTTAATAAACATCATGGCCTAACACCTTTTGTTGTCATTTCAGCCATATATACTGTGATGTCAATAAGACAAGAGCTCAAAGAGCATTTTTAGTGAGCAAACCTCTGAAGATGCTAAATACCTCATTAGTTAATCCCTAGCAGATATATAGTGGTTGACTAGCTACCCACTTGTGCAAAATATACCCTCTATCCATATACCAAATTAGGTAACGTATTGATCATGCAAACACAATTAAAAAATCATATTTTTATTTTCTGTTCCAATCTGAACAGAGCAGGTTTTAAACTAACAAACAAAAAAGATTTGTTTCTGTTTTTTGGGGGATTTTTAATCTTGTCTTGCTATTAATACAGTTTTGAAGTTTATCATGAAAGAAATCTAAATTAAGGGCCTTTTCTGATTGTTTTTTGTTATATTTTTTCCCCCAGTTATGATAGGAGTTAGCAATCTCCTTCAGCATCCACAGATTCAAATGATAAAGGCCAGGGATTAAGCACAGACGATTAACAGTCTGTGTTCTCTTCAATCTAACATTTCCACTGTAGATAAATTCATATTCAGACTGAACATATAATAAACAGACTGTCCTCAATATCATTTCCCTAGATGACCTCCTCAAAATTGACATTCAAGTATTCTTGTGGAAAATTACAGTTTAGTGTAACTGGAAAAGCAGACAAGACAATATATATACACACACAAATGATTCTGAAGATCAAGCCAAATGTTTAGAAAGCAATTTGGATAAAATGATATTTTGTTTCAGTTCCTAGTAATTTCTTATGATTATAGGTTTGACATATAAAATAAAAGCAGTTTGCTAAATTTTATCTTTATTGCTTGTACTGTGTATCTTCAGAATAACTGCATAATTATTTATACTTATAATGACCACAAAAAGAGAAAATCTTGGTGGATTATAGTGGTTGCAATTCTTTTCCTTCTAAAGGCAAAGGAAAACAAACATTTTAATTTTCCAGTTATCCTATCTTCTCTGAAATCTAAGTGTTACTCTAAGGAAATTATCAGTACAAACCATTTGTCCAGTGAACAATGGCAAAAGAATAAAAATCCACATGGACAGAATTGCAAAAATATTCTGTTAGACATGTGTTTTGATTTTCATCATAAATATTTTCACCTAAAATGAAATAAAAGCTCCTGAAAACAAAGATACTTTTTGCTTTCTAAGAACATTTTAACATGCCAAATTCTGACAGGATTCTGCTGCTATTTGACACTGGAAATCCAGAATCTTATGTGTCAAAAGAAAGGCTATGAATAATACAGATATCAACTGTGTAACAGGGCGTTTTAATTTCTTTACCTAAATGCTCCAACTATTTTAAGGAACTATAGATTTTTCGTCATTTAATTTCAGTGTACTTCTTCAGACAGAAGCAACAACATTTCAAACTATTTTATTATAAATAACTAATCTTATCTACCCAGTTAAAGGGTCTCTTATTGCCATTAGTTTATACTGGCAGAACTCCAGTGAAGCAGTTCTGAAATCAGATGAATGGATGTGTGCATTTATTATCCAATTCTTTATTCAAAGTACATGATCAAAATTTGGTTCCCTTTGACCAAACCACATAAGTGATAAGAAACAGGTCATGCTATATAGTAAAAAAAAAAAAAAAAAAAATCCCAACAAAACAAAAAAGCCCACCAAGCGTGAGCTGCATTTTGATTAGTTATTCACTAGAATTCGTTTGAAGTAAGCAATGCATGTGACCACAGTTAATTCATTAGAGTTGTTCATCAATTCTTTTCACTGAAGTTTTTTGTTTTTTTTTTTTTTTAAAAAAAGGCATAAAGTGATTCAGATTAAGTTTCATAGTCAGAACATTAATTAAGTTTGGATGATTCCATCGACCTTTTCTTCCAGACACAAAACGCTTTCAAAGCTCTTTTAAATAAATCTGTACTTGAGAAAGAATTGAAAATGTGAATTTAACTCAAAGTCACTCACTTTGAGATCTTGATTCTAAAACTAATTTAATGGTCTGTCTGCATAACAACATAGCTTATTTTTGCCAACTAAGACTCATATAATGAAGTACGCATTTAATCAGATTATATGGACTACAATTTAAGGCTATTTATGTTTAGTATGATTTTGAGACACACTAACTTAGGAGGTTTGATTTATAGGTGAGTTATCCTTAATCATCTTAGTAAATACATATTTTTCTCACCAAAAAAGCCACACTGAGTTATATTTAACTAACGATAAGATATACAGCATACATTAAAACATCATGTACTCCATTTATTCACTTTTAAGTTTTTCTTCCCCATTGGAACCTGTTAAAAATGCTTGTCATATTGTACAGAAACAATCTTGCCTTTAGCTCATCACTGACACCAAACCTTGTCTCTCATTATTCAGCTCTATACTTTTATGCATGGATTTGTATTTTGAAGAGGATATATAAAAGAAAATATATTCCATTTACATGCTATTTAGTGTTTAAAAAAAAAAATATCTAAAAACAGGAATAAAACACACTTTTTTTGTGGAATTAAGCAAACAAAAAGGTCTACAACAGGTAAAATTAAATTTATCAGTCCTTTCTATTTTTAATCTAACAGCAAATGCCACTAGTATTACATGCAAGATGAGGAATTTTATAAGTTGTTAGTCATTCTGCATACAGTATTTTACTATTAACCAGTTGTTATCCAACATTATTTTCCTAGATATTTGTATATATCTCTCCAGGCCTAATTTCCGGTCTTCCTTAATTAATGGGTGAAGCTCCTTATTACTAGAGTGGAGGCATATATGAATTTATTAACACTGGGCCTTAAAATAATATTTGAGGTAGCAGAGCTGATATCCCTTTAGTGAGAACAAATAAAATCTTAACCTGAAATGCTTTCTTAGGGCAAGCTTACCCTAGTGACTAATTAAAAGCTTCAAGACAGAATCCAGAACATAAACAAATCTGGGAGAGAATTATCTTTGTTATTATCCAAGTAGTGAGATGCAGTGCAATGAGACTGGAAGAGGGAAAGAACTGAGTGGAAAAGTCTGCTCCTTTCATCTACACACACACACTCATGGGCACACACAGCCCCCATACACACAGCTTTTCTTTCAGAGCACTTTCGCTTAAGGAGCTTGTAGTATTTACGTTTGCAGAGCTCCAAGTATTCCCAAACCTTACCCCTTTATTTTTAGCTTTCAAGTTTTTGCTTTATCTGCTGAGAACAGGAAAAGAAGGTGGTATGTTTATTGCTGGCAAACAGCTTGGAAATTCTGAGTAAAGAAGCCAATCAAGGCAGAAGAATTATAATAATCAAAGTGCAAAATTTGCATATTTAGGGTATGGTTACTGAGAAATAACAATGCCTTGGTTATGCAAATCAAACCCTCAGCTAAAGTGAAGGGATTTGCATATCTGGGAGAAATCTGTCACGTTATGCATCAGTAACTACATTCTAAGTGGCTGAAAGAACTGGCTTTTAGCAGATATTAAATATAATTGCCAATAGAATTTTTTATTTCCTTGTGATATAGAATAAACTCAACCGATTTTGGGCCTGATGAAAACAGGTCTTCTTGTCTGTAGGAAGCAATACCATTCAGAATGACAAAAGATACATTCAGCATGCCATACAGCTAGCATTTTTAAGATTGAGATCATGAAAACGTTCAAAGAGTTGTGTGTTACCAATTGTGTTCATCCTTTTTGTCTGTAGAAGGTGGTTTAAAGTAGCTCTCTTGAGAAAGGATTATAGAAAACACATGAAAGTTCAAGACCTGTTCAGCCTTACATAATAAAATCATGTTTAATTCATTTTAAATTTAGTGAATGAAGAAAAATAATTTGGACTGAAAAGTCTCATTGGTAAAAAACTTGGAAAAACTGCAGACTGAACTACTATAACAATTTTCTATTATTTATTAAAATCAAGCAGAGTTAACTGTAGGCTCAGAGGTGTTATAGTAAAATAATAAAACTAAAGAAAAAAAAATTGGGAATTTCTTCTTTAAAAATTAGTATGTGGCAGTATTTGTACCATTCATGCATGGGAAAATAAATATGTTACTTCTGGTTAATGTTTATTTCCCCTTTTCTCTCTTGTGAATGATGCTCAGCTGTACTTCAGATGTAAACTTAAGGCTGCCTTAAATACCCTGGACACTGCCTGCAAATGAAATTGCTGTTTGGTGTTACACTGAAACATGAGAGAGAATTCATGCAAGCATGTTCAATCTACAAACTATTACTTATAATGCCTGTTCAGAGGCATGATCCATTTCCACAGATAAAACATGGGGGAAACTGAGCAAGATGCTTTAAAGATCTGGCTACTACTCCTGTGCAGAACTGGTGAGTGCACTGCAGTGAGGTCCGTAGAGTACTTACCATCCTCTGTGGGCACATAGATATTCAAATACAGACAGTCTTCATTTTGATCTTGAACATATGTCACCACAGTATCCAGATTGGCTGTAAACCAGACTGGCAGCATGTCATTGAGCAGTGACCTCTCGTCCAGGTACTGCGGGCAGACGGCAGCAAACTGTGTGGCGTTGCGGACACCTGTCCAAGACGATGGTGGCTCTGGGGGCTGAAATCGCCTTTCTCCAGTTGGAGGAGAGGCATAAGGAACACCCAAGTACTGCTCCACTGGACCAAGGATCTCATTAGGCAAAGGTGTTCTTAAACCACGTATTTTGCCATAATTCGTGGTGACAACTGGGTATTGTGCTTGGCCATCGATGAGAGTAAATCTTATAGCCAGTGCAGTTATCCACAGGAGGAAGTTAGAATTCAACATGACACACACTGGGGTGAAGATCAAAGGCAGCCATAGGAGTCCCCTTGGTTTCGACATTATTTAAATCAACATCAGCAGGGCTCTTTTTTCCACAGCCAGGGGAAAATTAATCAGTCAAGGAAAATGAAAACTAATAAAATAAAAAAGTAGTCAAAAGGAAATGAAGTGAGGGAAAACACAACTTCGCTCAGGCAGCAAGAAACCAAAAGCTGATATGTGGTAGGTGCCTCAGCTGACTGGTTGTAGACAAATCCCAACGGCAGAAGAAACAAGGGAGTGTTTGCCCGTAAGGCCCATCCCAGACTTCAACGTTGGCTTAATCCTGGCAATGCACAGCACTTCTCAGCAAGTAGTGTGGAGAGAGATCCACAGTTACTCCACTTTCCCAGTAAAATGGCTCCCTCCAATGAAGTCCAGCCCACTCAGTCAGCCTGTGGCCAAGAGAAAATAAGCAATTCAAATCAACAGCCACATTAACATTGGCATAAAACTAAAAAAAAAAAAAAAAAAAAAAAAAAATCCCCAAAACAACCAACCAAACCACACAAAAAAACAAACCCAAAGCAAACAAATTCACACACTACTTCCACACCAAGGCTCACAAATCTTTTATGAGTTTTAGGCACCATGGTTAGCTGTGTTTCTAAAGATACGTAAGGTAAGAGAGCTGAAAATTGAAGCCACAAGCTTGTCAGAGGTTATACTGCAAAGCAAACATTTCTGCTTCTGCATATTCTTCCACACCAAACCACAGCCCTAACATTGCTGCTTTCAGAAAAGGTATCACATTTAAGTGCTAGCTCCAGGGCATTTTCTGCCCTAAATAAACAGCATCTCCATTTTAAGCATATTTGCACTCCCACAGGAAACATTCATTAAGTGTTTTGCTGCATTGGATAATCTCTCTTTGTTATGATATGACTTCTACACAGTTTTTTTCACAGGTATGTCTACTCTTCTGTATGACAACCTAATTTAACTCTGTCTAATTCAGAAATTCCAGTTAATGTGATAGCATTACATTAGTTCAAATCAACTGTGAAAACCATTAGTCAGAATTAGACACAAAGTTACTGGTTTTCATATCTGTTTTCTTTGTTCTGTGTATGACAAAAAGAACAGTGGAAACTGAAAAGAAGAAAAAAAAAAAGCACAATACAATCTCCCAAAAGTCAGATTTTGACCTACATAGTGTTACAACTATGTAACATTACCTTCTTGCATGCTCCTACTTTTAATTTTTAGATACAAGGTAATTCATATAATTCCGTTAATGTTTAGCATATAGAATGACTTGCATTTCATTAAACATTATAAGTAGTATAAATAAACACACAGCACTTGTTAATACTTACATTCTTCTCCCTGATCAAAGACAAAAAGCCCTCCATTTTACCCATTCAAATCAAAACCAGAGTTAAAAATTTCACAGATAAAAAAATCCTCGTTATGGGAAACTGATACTTTACATTTGATAGGATGAACACACATTTATATATAAAACTTATTTAAGTGAACTACCAGGTCCTGTTTTCAGTCAGGACTCTCTGTAATGAAGATGTAAAAATCAGTGTTCAAGAGGAGAAAAATCAAAGTAAGCACCTACTGACACTGATTTCAAATTACAAAAAAAAAAAAAAAAAAAAGAAAAAAACACACCAAAAAACAAAAAACAAGCAACAAACCTGCAAAAAAACCCACAAGCAGCCCAAAAATAACTGTAGGAGACATCTATGATGATTCTTTTAGACAAGGAAAGGCATTTGAAAGAAAGATATTTCATTCTATCAAAACCCCTAGAATTCTTCAATGACTTAATTTTAGAACTTGTACTTTAGCCCTCATTTTTGAAACACGTGAACACCAGTGGCCAGAAAGATACCAGATACATCTTATTTATGGTGAACCAAAATTTCTATTGACATTTTCACCGGTAGATAACAGGCTCAGATGCTGCCTCCAAAGAACTTGCAATTGAGGCGTAATTTCTGAAGGATGAATCAGTTACAGCTCTAAGTGTCATGTCCCCAGGGGCCCAGCAGGGCCATCAGTCCCTGACTGAGGTATGCTGCAAGGAAGCCCCATGCCCAGACTGGATCTTGCCCTGACTGTGTCCCTGGGTTGACCTTGGACCCTGCCTGGCCTGATGATCACTGGGCAGTGGCAGGCTCCCATCCCTGTCCCCAGCCCAGCCGCGATGGAGGACACCCCATCAGGAAGAGAATTGCCCTGCCAGCTCTGCCGTGCCCACAGCTTCTGGCTCATCCTCCACCGTGGGGTAGCCCCGGCTCCAGCCGCTCCCTGACACACTGCCGGTCACCTGAAATTCCTCCTCAAGCACCACCTCCCCTTCTGATTGCTGCTACCATCTTTAACAACAGAAGTCAGCAGCAGACAACTGATTTGGGGTAGGTGTTCCCTCATGCTCTGTCCCATCCTGATTTTGGTACACTTTTCTGACCATGCAGCACAAAGCAGATTTTCCAGTCGTACCCAAATGAGGATTTAATCTCTGCTCAGAGAGGAGCAATAGATCATATTCACTTGATACCCATACTGCAGAACTTTATAATAACATTATAAGAAAAAGAAATGTGGAGTAAAGCACTGAGAAAATTGACAAGGTGGAAGGAAAGACAGTGATCCAGATGATGAAAAATAGATAGAGAAAAAACTTGTCTGGGCTAACAGCAAATGAAAAAATGACGGAAAGAAACATGAAAAGAAAATGGGAATAACAAATAAACATTACCAGCATGGAGAGAACGAACAATGACAACATGAAGGAAAGTGGAAATCCTCAGTTAATACACATACTAGTGATAATATGCAACTGTCAAAAATGTGTCTTAATAAATAATATTTATCCATGCTGATTACAGGGTGTCTTTGGAACAAATATTTTTAATAGGGTGAAAGGACAGGAAAAGGGAAACATTCATTATTGACATGGAAATGAGTTTACTATCTGATTCTTTATCTGGGAAATAAGACCAACAAAAGTTAGTTTTGTGGGTATTAAATCCACTCATACAGTGTGTTTTATTTTCCCCTGTATCTTAACGAGAGCATTTGCTAATTTGCACACCCGGTTCACTCACAATTAGACATTTAGATTTTAAGAACCTTGAGACCATAAAGAATCAAACCATTGGCTAACAGAATATACAGCCAGCTCTCAGACCCACTGTCTCATCTATAACAGACCTGCAGCCTTTGCCAGGCAGTGCAAAGACATAAACAAACAGCAGATGTACATTAACACAGGCAAGTTATATACTATGAAAGAGCAATTCTAAAATGATAAATCAGAATAAAACCACTATTTATTGTAACATGTTCTGGTTATTAAAAGTTATTGTTGTTAGTGCGTTAAATGGCAACAGAAACAATCAAAGTTTTTAATAATTTCTTATTAAATGGGTCTCTTCAAAAATTTTATGCAAGTAATAAATTATGTATGACCACTATATACAATAAGTCTTTAATGAGAAGTCTTACAAAGAAAATTGTTTTGCAAAGAGAGTATTAGGCAGAAAATACCTCACTTTTCAGTTCATTGACTTATGACTAGAGAAATCCATTTTCATAAGGTTAGTTTCACACATGAAACACATACACATTCATACACAGACAGATACACGGAATAATTTTCAGTAAGAATATCAAAAGATAAGGAAGAAGATATGTTAGCTATGCATTCATGACCTAGATGATTTTGCTATGTGCATCATTAAAAAGGCTAGAAGACATAAACAGAGAATCACAGAATGCAATTAGCGATTAATCTTAAATAGAAAACTGTAAGCATTTTAGAATGTTTTTAGATATTATACCAAAACCAGTTTGATACACAGATATATGAATCCAGTCAGCTATTTAATACACCTTTACATACTGAGTCTACAGGAAGACATGTACTTGTGTCTTTATTATCACTAACAGTGTTGTATTTCCCCCCCCCCCCTTTTTTTTTTTTTTTACTGCTTCAAGTGTTAGAAAAATGTGTACAAACTTGCTTGCAAAAACTTGTTTGTTGAAAGCATCACCTACTCAATCAAAATCAATCAATCCAAACCAAAATATTCAGTTTAAAATGGCAACTTCTGGCAACATAACACACAAAGAAAAGTCAAAGAAGATCTGAAATCACATACATTAATACATGGCTACTTTATTGGCAAAGGAGTATAATTTGAGGCTAATGAGGCATTTATGGTCTTTGAGGTAAACGCAGATTGAAGTTAATATGGATGGGCATCTACTAGAAACACCACTTGTACCGGATTATAAATCTATGCCCCAAGCCACATTTAGAAATGCTTAAAGTCTATGAATCAGGCCTTCAGGGATAAACTGATGATTTCTAGGATCTGTAGTTAGCACTTTTTCAACTTGGGCAGATGAGTATGTCAGTATCTCTATACTAACTCTGTACCTGCTGCGGAAATATGAGACATGGCTTAAAAGTCCTCTTCGCTCCAGGTTAGAGTAGCAAACTCTAAAGCAATTTCAAGTTTTTTTGACCTGCTCATCCAGGTCATGGACTGTCACAAGAAAACCAAACACAAATATAGGAGCGCAGGAGATTGAGGACTCCACAGATTTCCTAGGGTTTCTAGGTCTTTATCTAAAACAACTAGTGCACTACTGTACACCTCAGCTTTCAGTCACTGACCACCTTCAGTCTCTGTCCCTCCCTTCTGCTCAAATTCTCTGGGGCAAGATTTCTGATGTGTACATAGGTCTCATCTCAATATAGAATCAGGGTTAAACACCCACATCCCCCTCTTTCGACATATGGTCTGAAAGAGTCTCTGGCTAGTCACCAGAAGAAAAATAAATTATGTAATCAGTAAAACTTCTGATTCTCTTCATAGTGATATTTTGTACAGTATTTAATGTATTTTGAAGAATACGGGGATATCAGAAAGAATTCATTTACCAAGAACATGAACTGTGGCTTTTCTTCTTTCCCTTCTCTTCCTCTCCTTGAAAGATACCATTTTGAAAGATATGAAGTTTTATAGTGGTTTGTGTGGGTTTTTATGGTTGTACCTCAAATTCAGCACCACAACCTCTTAATTGTCACTGTATTCAAAATGTTTGCTCAATAACAAAAGAACAGCTTTCCAATTATCAGTAAATGCATATTGGTTTTGTTTACCATCTTTCAAATAAAATAACAATTATAATTTCTTTAGACTTTTTTTCCCAGCTTCTAGGACTACTTTCTTGATACATTGAAATGAGCTAGGCTTCATTCTTCCTCATGATACATAAACTAATTCAGAAAAGTCAGACAAAGTCAAAATGAACAACAGAAATGAACATCAGTCATGAACTATTACACAGGTTCTGGACTTGATTACTTAGAAGGTTGGTGAGAAGGTTATTAACTGAAATTGGCCAATCACAGATATTTTTAAAT